GCAGAACCCTCAAACTCCCAGGCCTCTGGTAGAGGACCCGAGCTTGAGGATGACACATACCACCCCACGAGGGGTGAGAAAACAGTTTTTTTTTAGTTTATATCTATATATATATATATATATATATAGATATAAATGCAAAAGCAGATTTAAAACAATAATTTTAACTGTTCTTTAAAAAAGCCAGTGAGTCTACTGATCTAAAAGGGAGTTCCTAAGTCTTGGGGCCACATTAGAATGCTTTGTCTCCTTTTGTTTATAATTTGTACGTGGAATAATCTGCACGTCCTGATCACAGGACCTTAAGACCCAGATGGGGTGTTGGGATGTAAATCAGTGACTCTCCATGCAAAGAGCACCAATTCAAAACAAAAATCTTGAAATGCACTCAAGGATAAACTGGTAGCCTGTGAATTTTTTTTTTAACCTTATAGTTAATAAACCCATAATGAAACCTATTAACTCACTGATTTTACAACAACCTTAACTATTTTTGAACATTGATATCAATGCTTTATGTTGCTCCTTTTCCATTTTCTGCTTAAAACATAAAAATGTTATCAAATTACGGAAACTTTATCGAAATCAGAGCCTTTTTTCTCCAAGCTGGTACAGCCCCCGCTGAGGCTGTTAAAAGACTTGTGATGGGTCGTAATTAGATAGAAAGATGTGCTGATAAAGTCAGACTGGGAGATGGAGAGGAGGAGCGGAAGCTTCTGCTCTGATTCTTGCTTTAACGGCCTCGCCGTCTGAGTGCAGAGCGGAGTGTTTGAAAAACGATCCTGGTTTTAGCCCACTCTCCGCTGCCCTCCACATAGAGTTGGATTAATGTCAGGATGAGGACTCATCACGCATTGCATGGCTCTGCCAACAGGGGTCTCTTATGCTTAAGCTTTGACTGTGTCAGGATGTAAGCCTGTAAGCTGCAGTTGTCATCAGCAGCTGAACCAAATCATGTGTAAAGATGATGTTTACTGTCCTGTTTGGACCATCTCCTCAGCCTGTTCACTCCCTGTTAGAGACAACTTATCTCCCTCCTCCTGCCTGTGTGGTCTGCACTCCCCTCACAGTGATCTAAGTTACAGCAGTAGCAGCGTGAGCCTCCTGGAATCAGATTAATAATACAAGACAGCTTTAGAAGAGATCGACAAACGCTGTGAGGGGCTGAGATCAGAGACAGAGCTGAATGAAAGAGGCTGATGTGTAATTCATGAGTTTGTTAGGCTGGGATTTGTGGCTTCAAGCTGCACTCATTTGATCCTCCTGTATTTTATTCATTGTTTCCTCTCACTGACTTTTAATCTGTCTCCACATACCCAGCTTCCTTCCCCGTCCACGGCTGGGTGCCTCCGTCTCCCGCTCGCCTGTCTCTGAGTTCGGTCGACGAGGCCATAGAGGCTCCTGAGACGACAACAGACGCCAGAACTGGAGATCAGTGGATGGTGAGATAAAATCACAGATTAAGTGATCAATACTTTATCCTTCACACCTATTTTCCCTGAAGAAGATACAACAACATACTTTAACTGTTAAAACCTTGTTCTTTTTAAACTGATGGGTCCAGTTGTAACGCAGAGCTCTGGGTATCCCTTTATTTTGGGTGAATGGTGAGAAGTCCATCATCTAACGATTACATCCTTTTGGGTGACGTCCTGCTCCATCCATCTTCTTCCATCATCCAAATGTTTCGGCAGCATCTGCTCCTGATCTAAATCCAAACATCCCCTTAAGGCATTTCCTGCATTTCTAACTGGAGATTCCAATCAGTTCCCAGAGCAGGATGGATCTACCGTTCCTCCAGAATATTCTGGGTGTTCCATGCATCCCTCCTATAGAAGACACTCAAAGGACATTATCACGAGATGTTGAAGCGATCTCAACTGGAGTGAAGAAGTTTATTTCAGTGGCTCTCCTCTGTTATCTGATTTTTTAATGATCAGGATTTAAATCAGGAGCTCTAGGTGTTCCTTGATGGCAGCAGGCCAAAGACACACTGCAGATCAAGCTGCCATCCTTCTGTCCATCTCCTGCTCTATCCTATTATCTCCTAAACAAAAACACCAAGTAACTCCTTTCCCTGAAGCATTCACCACCGATGTAAAGGGCCTCTGGTCCCAGCGATTCCCTCTCCATTAACTGCATTGTGCCTCCTTTGGCCTGCAGAGAGGCAACCAGAGTATATTTGAACTAACAATGCTGCCACATGTTTAGCTTTGGATTAGAGGACCAGATAAGAATAGTACACTGGAAAAAATCCAAATCTAGATAAGTCATTTTTTCTTAAAATAGGTGCATTTGTTCTTAAATTGATAAGGTAAAGGAGACTTTTTGCAAAAGGAACAAGACAATTTACATTTAAAATGAGAAAACACAATTGCATTATATTATTTCAAGTGCATTTTATCTAAATATCTTATTTTAAGAGTAAAAATACTCATTCCATTCGCAAATCATCTCATTTACCTACTCAAAAAAGGGTAAATACACTTAATTTAAGAATTTTTTTTACTTATTTCTAGATCGTTTTTCCAAAGTAGGTCCTTTATCTCAATGTTAACAGTTTGAAAAAACAATATTCTCTAGTACTGTCTTTAGCCATAAATGGCTCCAGGCCATTCCTCTGTGTCATTTTAAAGGGGTTTATGCTTGATGGGTCATTTTTGCATCCGTGCCTCCCTTCAGCGCAACATTCTCACAGCCTGATTTTCCTCACTGAACACCTACAAAAATGTAACTACGTGGACGAATGACAGCTCCTACTAGGGAAGGTTTGCAAACATAAACATCTAGAGACATCTCATGATTTGGCCCAGAGATATAATTATGATCAATGGATTGTAAAAAACTATAGAAAATAAATTGCTGTTTCTGTTGGATGAAAATATAGGAAACGGCTGAGTTTTCTTTTTCTATATGTTGTGTGGTTAGAGTGTTATGTATGGACACTGAACACCGTGTATGGAAGCTATAGACGCTGTTACAGCTGAACGTATAAGTGTCAAGCATAGTTGAACCTCAATAAGACCCAGCTGTTGACACCCAATGGAACCCTAGTTGGGCATAAACTTCAATAAAGCTTTCTATAGTGGATTTCTAATGTTTAGACACTTTGCAATAAGAAAAGATAAACTGAAAGTGGAGATCAGAGTGAGCTGATCCCATGACAGCAGCAATGGGACAGAGAATTCTCAGACTGACTTTCTAAAGCCCTTTGCAGACTATCCTCCTTTGTCCACTAAGCAGACCTACTGTAGGAGGGAATGAAACCCATTCATCTTATAACCTCAGCATGTTCCTTTTATTTTTCACTCAGCCAGGAACAGGTAGTACTTATAAGTGAAGGACACTTACCAATTACCAAAACAAGGTTCTTTGTTAATAGAAAAACAAAAAATGCTTGACAGATGAAAGATCAGTGATCAGAGAGCAAAAATTAAAGGATCAACTTTTGAAAAGGTGTATTATGTTACATTAAAAAGAAAAGCACACCAAAAAGATCCACATCTGGGGATTTAACCTATTAAGCAAATTAAATCTAGGATTGCTCTGCAGCCATGAGTGGTGTTGTTTAAAGAACAGCGGCAGGATGGAGCAAGAGATGCATTAATTAGATCCTCTACTGCAGTGATCCACATACGTTGGTACTGAAGTACGTTGGTTTGGACTGAAAGAACAAGACAAGAACCTTCTGATGAATTTTCCTCATGCTGTCCTCAGGAGGAGTTCAGCCATCCTGTTGAGAGTCTGGCCTTAACGCTGGATGAGATCATCAACGTGCGCCGAGTTCTCGTCAAAGCAGAAATGGAGAAATATCTTCAGAGCAAAGAGCTGTACAATAACCTGAAGCGTGGAAAGGTAGCAGATGTAGCTTCCTCTCTCCTGTGTTTACAGCTAATGCAATCAGTTAACGTGTTTCTGATCCTTTAGGTTTGCTGCTGCTGCAGAGTGAAATTTCCCCTCTTCTCTTGGCCCTCTACATGCTTACTGTGCAAAAGGTAGCCAAGAAAGATTTTGTTTCCATGTATATCTCATATTTTTTTTAAATATTCTTTTATTTAAATCTTGTGCAGAAGTTTCATATTAAACATGGATGTATTTATCCTAAACATCATCCCGTAATTGTTTTTTCACACCTAAAATTCAACTGTACAGCTTAAAGCTTTGATGCTTTAAAAATTAAATAAAGAAGTAGTTTGCTAAGTGCATTCTACATTTGTTGATCACAATGCTGATATAAAGCAAGGACTCAGCTAAAGGTTTTGTTACCTAAGTGAACTATTGTCGATGTCTTCCTGCTGTATTTTGCTTTGCTAATGTGAGTTAGCTGACTCACTAATTGTGCATTGAGTTAATTAAATCCCTTTAGGCAAATAAACAAATCAATAAAACCAGTCAAGCATGCTATCAGACCGTAGTTTCTGCTGCAACATGTTTAACCACAGGAATGTGAAGCAGGAAATATTGATGATTTGAAATAAAATGACAGACTGATCTGTTTTTCGTTCCCCTTGCAGGTCCGTTTGTGGCTCCTGCAGTGCAAAGGTAACTTAAGAAATATTTAAAAAATGCATTCCAAGATAAATAGGGTAAAATTGTAAAATGTTTATATGTATTATGAAAATACCCAAAGTCGAGTTCATTCTCCATTCCTTAAAGTGGGCTTATCGTACCTTTAAATCCTTCCTTTTAACATTTAATTCATTCATTTGTGATTTAAATAAAAATTAAACTGTAATTCTTTGTTCCGATTTCCTCTCCTTTACTCCTCTTCTGAGGTTTGCTTTAAAGCAACTCATTTTAGCGCCTGATCTTCCAAGAAGACGCTAAATTGCACATGCAGTTTTTTTCTACTACGTGCAATTACTGAACGTGTTGCATGTGATCTATAAAGACTGCTGCTCAAATGTAAAGATGTGCAAACCAGTTTTGTTCCGTCCACAACAATAATGATTAATAAATAATAATACTAAATTGTATTTATGCTGCATCTTGTAGCCTATCTCAAAGTGCTACCAACAAAGGGGTAAAAAAAGTGAAATACCGGTATGTGTTATTAAATCGAGGGAAACAAAAAAAAACCTGTAGCAAAACTTGTCTCTGCATGCTCCTTTGATGTTCTATTTTTAATTATCATGCCCCAATATTTAAGTTAAGTCATTATTTTCCAATATGGTTCAATTGTATAAAGACTGTCTGCCACCCGCTGAATTAACCTTTGCCCAACTGTATCAGTATTTTTTCGTTTATTAATATTATTATATTATAAAAGTATAATCATATATTTCTGAGCATAGGATCTCTCTCCATCTTTTAGTATTTTATAAATGCCTCCCCTGTGGCAACAATGACTGCAGATGGTTTTGGATTCAAACACCATAACTTCTCTCTGATTCCCACTTAACAAGTTTTCTACTGTGTTTATGCATATTAATAAAGAGTCGGTGTTCTATTGTGTTGAGTTGACGCCTCTGCTGAGAAAATGGAGATAAGACATTGTTTGCAGTCGATTGCACTCTGCCTAATGCAAGGGTCATAAAATCCTGGGATGTTTTTGTTCCTTTATTCTCAGTATAGAAGAAGGCTACATTAGCTAACTAGGGTCTAAAAATGACATTGTCACAAGCTGACACTGGTTCAATGAGGGTAAAAGATGGGTGCCCTGCAAAAAAACAAAAACAACCCACAGATCAATTACAAATCATACACGTTTATTATGATGTAGAGTTCATAAAGTTAGGGTTATGTTACATTTTCAGGCAGCTGATTTATAACCAAGTGCATCTTAAGTTGAAAACTAGATGGATTTCAGACTAACTTTTAAATTTCCAAAAACGAATCAAATATTTAGTGGGTTTAAAGAAGTGCTGGATCCAGTTTGGTGCAACATCCTGTTTCCTCCTATTTCCTGCTCAGTGACACAAAAACAACCGGAAATCATATGTATTGTTATTGTAAACACTTAATAAAGCCATTGAAGAATACAAAAAATAACATAAAAATAGACAGAAAGATGTTATTATCCTTTAATTTGTTTTTGTTCACATTAAAATTTCCGAATAAGATGAGAGTGTTTCATATGATCACAGTGTGTTACCGAACTCCATCAGGTCTCTCAATTGGATTTGACGATCTAAACACTCCACCTTTCCATGACTGTTAAACATCCAATATCCTGTATTCTTTTATTTCCCTTTTCTTCATTTTTTCTTTCGAACTCCTTTCATCCCTCTCTTCCTCCTTCTTGCCTCCTTCCTTTCTGCCCCTCTCTTCCCTTTTCTTACTCTCCTCTTTCTTCCTTTTAACCTTTTTACCCATGCTCTCTATTTCTTCCCTTCTCCCTCCTTTGCCTGTCTTTGCTAAGAAAAGAACGGAAAGGTTGCCAACAAGTGAGAGAATAAATAAATAACTAATATAAATAAGGAACAAATATAGTGCTTGAACATTTCAGTAAAGTTAAACAAAAACAAAAGATTAGCTAAGGAACTGTGGCTGTCACATCGTTTCTGTCCTTTTCAGATCTAGTGTTCATGAAGGTCAACCATGGTGTCCAACATTTTTTAAATCTTGTTCCTCATTGCAAATATCAATTCTTCCATCCGGAGAATGTCTTGAACAATATTATTTTAAACCTCTAACATAGTTGGTGTATCAGCCATCCAATTCCGAGTGATTGCTTTTTTTTCTGGCAGTTAGCATTATATTAAGGGTATAGTGGAGGATTTTCGCAAATTTTTGAAAAGACCCGCCCTCTCCACTTTAAAAAAAAATGTGCATGCACAACCCTGTACATCCAGTTTATCCAGTTTACTATATTTATTAGGGCTCAAACAATTAATCGGATTAAACGGATTAATCATGATAAATCAATTAATTAAATAATTATCAACTAATGAATCGATAACTGAAGTATAGAGACTCAAAACAACATGCCCTTAGCTGACAGAGTGACCCACTTAACTATATCAAAATTGTAAAAATATATATATAAACATTTTATATTTTGAGATAAAAAAAAACTTTTTTGTCTGTCAATATGATCTATCCAGAACTCCTCAAATTGAAAAGTTTTAGTTTCACCTGGTTTAATTTCCCAAAAAGTCTTGTTTAAGGGACCTTTGGCTATCTGATTAATCAAAAAAATAATAATTTGCAGATTAATAGTCTTGTTAGCTGTGTCGTTATCCATTGGCAATGCTTCTGGCATTTTGAGTCACTCTTTGGTGTTTTTATATGCCACAACTTTTTTTTTAAAATAGGACTTTTCTGGAATTTGTCTTGGTTAAGCTGTCGCCATCTTGCTTGCTCACCCAGGAGTCCACTTTAGTTTTTAAAGAGTTTTTCATGCTTGTTTGTTCTTCTGTTGACAGCATATCTCTGTTTTGTTTTTGTTTTTTTGCTCTGTCTATTTGTTTGCTTGTTTCCTCAGTTCCGGCTCGTGTTGGATATGTAGTTCTGTGCTCTGTAGGTTTGGATTTTGTGTGCTTATTTGTGGTCTGCACTGTGCTGTGGCTCATCTGTGCTATCACCACCATTATAAGTTATGCATTTGTATTTAAGTGTTTTTGTGTTGTGAGAGTGGATCTATTATTGCAGTGGATTTAAATTATATACAGTTGAGCAAAAAATGTATTTAGTCAGCCACTGATTATCCAGGTTCTCCTACTTAGAAAGATGAGAGGTCTGTCATTTGTATCACTCACATTTCAAGTATAAGACACAAAATAATAAAAAAGCCTAGAAAATCACGCTGTTGTGTTTTTATAGAATGACATTTCAGCACAAATTCCAGGACATCCCCATGGTCTCTGTTCATCCTCATATCAACTGAGAGCAACTGGTTCATCCTCCTGTCAAAGAAATTGATCCACAAAGTTCAGCATAGCATGTCTAATGACCTGCCTTGTTCATTTCCAAAGTACAGCAGATCTCCAAACTGGATGTAAGGTTGGAAAATGATAATCACATTTCCTGTTTACAAAATAATTGTTTTCCCTCCAAAATAAAAGAGTGCAAGAACATTGACATAAATAAGAGGAAAAAAAGATTAGATCTGGTGGAGGAATGGACCCAAATACCAGCGACAGTGAGAGTTACCCAGATGAAAACCAACAGGAAATGTCATTGAAAATAAAGGTTATGCTACAATAGTATTGAGTTCAACTTTTGTTATTGACCAAACAGTTATTTTTTATCATAATTTCTAAATAAACGATTTAAAAATCCAATTTTTTTCTCTCATTGTTAAAGTGATTATATAACGAAATTGACAGACCTCTCCTCTTTCTGAGTAGGAGAACTTATTCAGTCACTGACTGACTGAATACTTCTTTGCCTGAATCTTTTTTTTCTGAATGGTTGTTTTGCTTTTTTTTTTTTTTTTATCCAGATGAAGATTCCCTCCAAGAAGATGGCCCATATTCCTGTGTATACCCTGGGCTTTCACAGCACCCCAAAGAGCCACGGCCACAAAAGCCTGGTCTACAAGTGAGTCTTTGATCAACTAAGGAGTTAGAAATGACAAATAACTGGATAGATCTACAATGACTGCAGACAGTCTGTGTCTCTGCTCTGCTACCTCTTATTGGCAACAACTAAAGTAAGGAAAGAGAACAGATTGTGTCTTTGTGAGACAGTTCTGCCATTCCTAAAATCCTACAGGAATTGTCAAGCTATCTGGTTATAGAAGTAAAGCATTATCAATCAACCTAGGAAATGGACACCAAGCTATGGGGTTGAAACTCTGCTAGTCAGATGTGGATGTTGAGAAGAGGGGAGTGGTCAGCTGTGGGAAGGCGTTCACTGCTGGGCAGCATGAGTCCTGTCAGCGGCCATGTTTGATCATTGGAGAACTAAAGAGATTTTCTTTCAAAATGAAAGATTTTATCCAGGGAAGCTGATAATTACATTGGGTTAACCTGGCTTCAGATTGAAAGTTGCTGACAAAACATTTGATTTCCCTATGAGAAATAAAAAGACCACCAGGAAGCCTGGACCTTATTGATCAAGTCCACTTTAAACTGTTATAGAATGCCTGACTAAGCTAAACACAGGATAAAAACCTGAGGGGAGTCTGAAGAGACTTGCATGTATGGTGGGTTAAACTAAATGTTTAATGCTCCATAAGAAAGCAGGGCAGGTGTTTCATTATCACAAAGGTTTTTACTCATATTGGGATTATATTGTTTTCTAATGAATATTGGAGTTTTTCATTCATTCCCTTTAAAAAATGAGTCCTGAAAGCTGTTAATTTCTTATGTAAATTTATATAAAACAGATAGATGTTAAACAAATGTTTTTTGTGAAGTTTACACCCTTTAATGTAAAGCAAATTATTAATAAACTATTAGTTAGCATCTAACAATTAAAGATGGCTCCGGATTCTTTTTAGTCAGGAATAATTTAGAAGTTTTAAGTGGAAAATCTGCGGCAGGATGTCAGACATCCGTTCCTGCTCCAGCTAAGATATGGCTGACAAAGGTAACCCTGCTGAGGATAGTAACAGGAGCTGAAGAAAGTTCCAGGACAAGGACTATCAGTGTGTGCGTACGAAGTTGTCTGTCCAGTTTGTCTCTGTCATTGCCCCAGTGATGGACGAGAGACCTGTCCAATTTGTCCCCTCCGATTCTTCCAGTGACCCACACAGACAGTCACCAGGCCTTATGTGACTCTGTAAGGATAAGAGGGGATTATTTGTGAAAAACTGAGAACGTTGCGCCTTTAGTTTCAGATTCTCGTATTTTTTAGCAGAATTCTCATAAATTGATTTGATCAGGAAAGTCATTTACAGTAATCTGAACATAAAGATGTTAAGAAGTTTTTCTGTCTCCCTCTTTTTATCCAAATTGATGATTTATTAATACATTTACAGCTGTAATCGACAACTTTTCCCCGATATATAGACCAACATTGATCTCTTGGTGTTTTCTATGCAGCCGCACCCCCTTCTTAAAGCTGGTCACTGCTAAGCTTCCTCATCCTGAGCAGAAAGGGAGAGGAACTGTCTTCTGCTCAGGCCGGAGAAGATGACCTCCTCAATCTAATCACCTCCACCTCTCCCACTCCTTCTTTCCTTTGTTAAGCATATAATCAGTGCAGCGCCTCCTGCACAGCCTCTAAGCAGCCATTATGTAATAATTACCCAGCTGTCATTACAATCCTCCCCCCTTGAAGACAGCTGGTGGGGAGAGTCATGTTTCTCTGCTAATACGACTGATGGAAGCTCACCGATGTTCAACCATTATTTTAATCAGAAAAGTTGGTCTTCCTCTCAATCTTTAATAGTGATCGTGGTTTGTGGTTATTCGTATGTTTAGTTCACTTCAGTTTTTATTTTTATTCTTTACTGTCATGCCTCAAATCCTTACAGCCGATTAGGATGAGAAAATGTTTCTTATTTATTTGGTTTTTATGGCCTTTGCTTTATTTCCCTTTTGCATCAGTCAAAACAAAAAAATGAAAATTTTCTTTATCTTCTAAAATTTTGTTGCAAAGTTGACTATTTTGGATGATATTATTAGATTGCAGAATATTTCACACTTTTTTACCTTTATTGACTTTGTTTATAAGTGATAATACAAATTTTTTATGTATTATTAGTTTTGGAGCATTGAAGGTTTTTTGAAAGTAAGATTTAGTATCAGGAACCGTCTCACCCCTAAAAGAAAAAAAAAGATCATTGATCCATTTCAGTTTTGAGAGACAAACAAACACATAGTCTTGTCGTCTATTTAGATTTTTTTGGAAAAAGCACAGAGGGTCTGATCTTCAAAGATTCTGAATAAGAAGCTTAAAACTGCACACATTATTTTTTTTTTAGGAGGTGTTGCAGTGATCTTCAAAGATTACTGCTCAAATGTAAAGATGTGCAAACCGCTTTGGTTCGGCCCATTAAAATGAACAGATAGCCCTGTTCCAGAGTGGTGCTAAATAAAACACAAGGTTTTAAGCCATGTAGTTATATATATTTGTATAAATAATGATAAAATAAAGTATTTGAAAAGATATATAACACTAAATATTATTTGTACAACATTATAAATAGTCAGGGTCGGGGTGCGGCAGATGCCTTTCTCTAGCAGTCTATAGGGGACAGAAGTGCATTTTTTTTCAGTTCCATTTACAAATTGTGTTCTTACAGTTACTGAGTTACTAACTCAGTTACATTTTGAAGTAACTTGTTACTTTTTAGTTACCGTACATTCCCAACACTGTTGGAAACAGTGAGGGTCTGTTGGACTGTCCAGTCAGCAGTTTGCCCCAAAGACTGTAGACCTGTGGTCTCAGAGTCCTCGAGGGACAGAGTTCTGCAGCTTTTGCACGTCTTTTGCTAAACTGCTTCCCTAGCATGCAGTCAGATCTACAGAGATCTGCTAATGAGCCAATTAGTCCGATGTGGTGAAGCAGACACACATCTAATAGTAGCAGGACATCAGCCCTCTGGGACTGCAGTTTGTTCCCATTGCATAGATTATGCCATAATGAAGCATTCTGTATAGAAAAATCACTTTTTAAATCAGAAAACTTCAAATTTGGGATTTATTTAACCTGTATACCATAACTTTTAAAACTTACAGAAATAATAATTATAATTATAGTTTCAATCTGTGTTAAATTAGTCAATACGAGTTTAACTTTTTAGAAAGTATTTTATTTTTCAAATGTATTCTGTATCATCTCTGTTGTACTATATGTGTAAGTTAGAGTTCTCTTGATCATCTTTTACTTCTACATGTCTAATTCTACATCAAATGTGATTCCCATCCTCCTTCTGTCTGTAGATCCTTGCGAACTCTGTCCCGCTGCTCAGTGGAGGAAGAATTTCCACACCTGTACGCCCACGGCTGCACGCTGCGTGACATCTGCGCCGAATGCACCAAGTTCGTCGCCGACGTCATTTCCTCCAGCCGTCGGAGCCTGGACTTCCTCAACAACACCCCAAAGAGGGAGGCCAAGGCCGCTGAGAGGCCTCAGCTGCAGCGACAGTCCAACTTCGAGGCTTTGCCTCAACCGAACCATCACCACCAACGACCTTCACCGCAGCTCCACCGCACTGAGACCGCCGACAGCACGAAGCAATGACTGAATCAGACACTGACCTCACTGTGCACACGTTTGTCGGAGGAGGGTTCCCCTTCGCTTCCCGAGAGTCGCAGGGTGTCTTATAGTCATATAATCCAGTAAAGGTGCTTCTGTGTTGATTCTGCTGGGTTGGAGCGTTAAATGTATCATTTAACTGTCAAGCTTAGGTCTAGAAGAAAAATCACTGAAGCAGTTCAGAACTCTTTTTAGCAAGAATGTAGAGATCTCTTTTTTTTTTTTTTTGCTCAGCTGCTTTACCTTCCAACTCTCCTCATCTAACTCACAACACACACATAAACACACATTCACTTGGATCTCTTTCTGCATCTGCCCTATCTGCTGCACCATACTTTCACTCACGCACAGGGGTGGGGGGGTGAATTCAATCATAAGGGGGACTGGGGTTCGAGGGGCGGCGGTCTAGAAAGAGGGTGAAGGTGGGGTTGTGACGTCAAAGCTGTGCTATGTTGCAATAGCATCTATGGTTTGATTGGTTGCCTTGTTTTTGTGTCCTGAATGTACTTTAGACGTACAAAGATGTAAACTTGAAAAGCTTCTACAAATCAAAGTATTTATTTTTAATCACCAAAAAAGGAGAATAAAAAAACAAGCTGCTGCTGCATCACAACCAGGCCGCTCTGCTGATGCTTGTGAAGATCCCAGACCCGCAGGGCGAGATGAAACAGCAGCGACACTTTGAATGTAACAGGGTGGAGCTGCAGGCCGCACCTTCAGCGGGCGTAGCTCAATGGCCTTCTGCGAAACGCCAGCGGTTGAACCTCCCGCCTCTTTCTCTCCCACATGGACGCTTTGCAATCTGCTATGGTTTTGTAAACACAGATTGAACCTTGGCTGCAATAAAAATACAATGATAAACATGACCAGTTTTGCACCTGCGCGTTTTACTGTGGGCTAACTTAACAACAGAGTAATAAAGGTGTCCTGCAATGACACGGCAATCATGAAATTAAAACCCACAGTGTACCTATGGGTGTTTCTCAAGGGGTTAAATAGCATCTAAAGAGACATACACATTCCTCAAATTCAAAAATAATTTCAAAACATTTCCCACATTTTAATATGACATTTTTTCCTGATCAACTTAAGAAACAAACAAATCTTCCAAGAGTAGAAATTCAAAAACTAAAACAAATTGACTATATATTGGTGGTATAAACGTTCCTCCCCTTTCATTCTGTTCCATCAGTTTTTTTAAAGTAAACCTGTTTCCTGACCTTGTCTCTGTTAGAAACTTCTTCTGGTAGAGAAACTCGACTCATTAAGTATGATCAAAATGAGATGAACATAATGAATTAGTTGTTTTAGAAAATAAATGTGTCTCCAGTGAAATAAAAAATAAAAACAAAGGTTAAAAATTTATTTAAAAATGTATAAAATGTTTCTTTGTGTAAATAAAGTATTACGTATACCTCTAGAGATGATTATAGTTCAGCCATTAGGGTATAATTAATTTCAATTCAGTTTATTTCTATAGCGCCAATTCACAACACGTCATCTTAAAGCACTTTACAGTTCAACCAGATCGTACAGTCACATTGATTCACAGTTTTCTATCAAAGGAAAACCAGTTGATTGCATTGACGAATGGAATCCCTCACACTAAGCATGCTTGTAGTGACAGTGGAGAGGAAAAACTTCCTTTAAACAGGAAGAAACCTCCAGCAGAACCAGGCTCAGTGTGAGCGACCATCTGCTGAGACCGACTGGGGTTCAAGGAGACAGAAGCAGAGACAGAAAAAGCAGCTGTAAAAGGCGGCCCCGTCCAGGAAACACAGCCAGGCAGATGAGCTCCGAGCCAGCTCCCATGTCAGAGGATGAAGAGACACATCCAGCCAGTCACAGTCAGAGAAACAGGACTACACTGAAAAACAGGCTGATCTCCAACATCTATAAACAAAGGTGTTGGTGGCAGCAGAACAGCTGATATTTCTCTCCAGGATGGTGTCACAGCCAAACAGGAACAGACAAGGCAAAGCTACTATGAGAAAAAGCACAGAGAATAATGTTAGAGATTGAACTAATAGATTCTGCAGAATAGTTGGAGAATAGAGATATAATAGAGAATGAAACAGAATGATGAAATAGTAAATAGTTCATAAATAGTATAGGTGTTTAAAAATGTTAAAGAATCAGACATTTATGCAAATGTATTTTATAACCTATTCTAATTCGATTTTGCAGACTGCTTTTTGGAATTCATTTTTTTTTATTCTACAAGTTATGTTTAGATATGAAAAGTTTTGTTTTGTTTTTTTAAGTTCAGGGAATCAGAAGTGTTAAATTAAAAAGGGACCAGTTCTGATTTCATAATCTGAAAAACTCTTGTTTTCTCACCTTAGGTTGAGTCCTAAAGCTTAACGGGTAAAAAAAAAAAAAAAAAACATAAATATTTGCTCAGTGAACAGAATTAAATATCTCCTGCATTATTTCAAAGACAGCTTCTGTAAGCAGCAGTGGGATTTATAAATACAGCTAGTGCGGTGTTTGAACTAAGAAGGCTTTGCTTCCTTTATCAGGGATCAATGCGTCCTGAATGAAGCCCCGCCCCCTCATGAATAAATAATCCGCTCTGTGCAGCTATTGGCTGCCTCTTTCTGTCATTCGGCTCTGAGTTTACTCTTCGACACAAACAGCTGGAAGTCAAGAGCAATCAGTACGCCGTACACTCAAACAGGAAATGGAGATTATACTTTCACAATACAAGCATAGAAAACTACAGCACATCTTATTAATTTAAATGTTCATGCTTCAGATTTGAAACCCTAGTTTTAGAAATGCCATAGGCATGTTTAATCAAACAATCTTTTCTTTGACCTTTTTGATTTGGTAAATGTATTTCCATCATACTTACAAATTTACCAAATATTTGAAAAAATTCAAATTGTTACTGCTTTTAACTTCCAAAATAAACCCATGTAAATAATAAGAATTCATTAATTAAAGAATTATTATTATTATTTTGTCTTAGATAGGGTCAGAATTATAAATTATACTTGTTGGACAATTTTTTTTTTTTATTTAGAACAAAAATAAAAAAACTTACAAAGCAAAGAATAAAGTAAAAAAAAAAAATAAAAAAATAAGAAAGAAAGAAATTAAACACCAAAGGGAATTTAAAAATACAAACTGAGATGGAAGATGGAGACAGAATAAGGAATTACCTTTGCAAATGTGTGATCAGAAGAAGTTTTTAGAATCAGGTTTATGAATTTTTTTTTATATATATATATATCTGTTAAGAAATATTATTTGTAAATAATATGCAATTTGTCTTGTTGTCTGGTGGGCCCCTGACAGTGCAGAGCGGGACAGAAAGAGACTGAACAAACTAGTGAGAAAGGCAGTTTCTGTCCTAGGCTGCACTCTGGAAGAAGTGGCTGAGAAGAGGATGACGTCCAAGCTTACATCCATCATGGACAGCACCTTCCACCTCTGCACCAAACTGTAGAGGATCTGAGCAGCTGTGTAATAACTGTTTCTCTTAATTTGACATCCAGTGCAATTACTATATATGTAAAAATAAAAATCCATCTATATAAATACACATGTAAATACACTGTGCCATAACCCTGTATAATGATCCTACTATAAAATATATATAAATATATCCCATGCACATTTTTCTTCCTATGGCACATTCCTCTTTTTTGACTATTTTGAGCTGTGGTAACAAGTACATTTCAATCAATCAATCAATCAATCAATCAATCAATCAATCAATCAATCAATCAATCAATCAATCAAAATGCACAAATACAAAAAAAAACAACTTTTCAAATTGGATTTCTAATAGTCTGATTCTATTGTTAAATTTGAAATTGCTGTTTTTATTTTCCAATGACTTTCCTGGTCCTCCAGTCCATATTATCGCAGAACCTAAATTTGAGACCTCTAAAAACGTTTGGTGAATATGTATGATTTTATTTTGAAAGGGTTTGCCGGATGTTCTGGGTTGTGTTCATGCTAACATCCATGTGGAAGTCGCTCAGCTTTAGGGCTTGAACTTATCAACAAGCCTTCCGAAGCTCGCCGCTTGCAGCCCGCTTGTTCCCCTCCGCTCCCTGTGTTCTGGGACTCCCTCTGTTCTCCACCCACCCTCTGCGGGGCCACGGGTGGAAGTGGAAGTGGGTGTGTCGATGCGAGCCAGTGTAGCCTCGCCGTCGCTCGTGCGCTCTCTGAAAAAGAGGAAAAAGTTGATGAGGAGTTCAGAGTAAGAGCGGCCCAGCCTCGGAGCAGGCTAACCGTCCCGGGAATGGCAGTCTGGACCCGAGCGGACAAAAACGGCCAGCTGGACCTTCTGCTCCGGGACCGCTGGATCCGAGTGGCAGCCGAACTCACGCGGGAGACGTTGACTTTAACGGCCGAGGCGGAGCTGAGCGGACAGGGGGGTAATCACTGGGACTACACCTCGGCTGGCCTACGAAATGGCATGTCGAACGGAAATGACCCCGGAGCGAGCCCCGGGAACCCTGGACGCGGTTCTTCCTCGGGTCAAGACCAGCTTCAGAACCGGGGACGCAGTAGTAGCCCGGGTCGGGGGAGCGTCAGCCGGTGTCAGTATGATGGAAACTACGGTGTAAACAGTTCTGGAAAGTACCCGGTTAACGGAGCAAACTCTGACTTTGGAAGTCCGGGGTCTGGCTACGGGAGTCCCGGGTCGAGCTTCGGGTCGAGGCAAGGCGACCCCCCGGTCAGCCTGGACGGTTCCTCCGAAGCGGTGCGGAAAGTCCGGGTTGTCAAACAGGAGTCCGGCGGGCTGGGGATCAGTATCAAAGGGGGGCGGGAGAACCGGATGCCCATCCTCATCTCTAAGATCTTCCCGGGACTCGCCGCGGATCAGAGCCGGGCTCTCCGGGTGGGCGACGCCATCCTGTCGGTGAACGGGAACGACCTCCGGGAGGCGACGCACGACATGGCGGTTCAGGCGCTGAAGAAGGCCGGGAAAGAAGTCACGCTGGAGGGTAAGTTAGCCAACGCGAGAGCGGGGATTTGAAAAGGCCGAAGGCTGGAAATCCACCAATCACATTTCCAGGTTCTCAATATGATAACTTTTCATAAAGGATTTTATAAAGGAGGTATTTTATTTCATGATTTTTTGATTACTTCTAAAACAATAGGTATAGACAGAAGATATTTTAAAACAGAATTAAACTGTAATTTAGAACAAATTGAGCCTTTTTCTTATGTATTTTTAAAAAGGTTTGTGTTTTTTTTAAACTTTAATACCTTGCAATTTTTTCACACAATCATTGAAAACCAACTTAAACCCAAGAATTATTCAAACCACAGAATAATTTCAACTAAAATTAGAGTAAACTAGTTTTGATAAAGGTTAGATGAGCTTCATTTTCTAAAGGTGCAAAATTAAATCTTAGCACATTCAATAAGTTTACATAATTAAGTCATTATTTTTATTCTGTTAAACTAAAACTATTTCAAACAAAGTTCTGCAGAACAATGGCAAAGACTGCTGACCTTAGCAGACACTTCAAACCCTCAAAGGTCACTGTGTGAGTGCTAAATCCTGGCACATCACTGGAAAGTTGAGCAGAAGGAAAACATAAGGCAGATGATGCACAATCAGATTAGTTACTTTTTTCTCCGGGGAAGAAACGGCAGCAGCTCTCAAAAGTAAGGTTAAGGTATCATGATGTTGTTGTGCTGGACCAGCCTGCAAACTGTCCTAATCTGAACCACCATAGAGAATCTGTAATGTGTTTAAAAGAGGATGATCAGAGACAGAGATGCAGATGATCTGAAGGCAGCTATTCAAGTAACGTTCATTAAGAGCGGAGAAGAGCAACGTGACGATCGTCCCATGCTGTGCTGAGAAAAAGTGAGGCGTATGAGAAGAAAAGTAAGGCATCAGAGGAGGCAGATATATCCTGGAAAGCTTTGCACAGAGAGCTCTCCTCGCAAAGCATTATGGGATTTCTTGTCAAAGCGGCCCATTATTGCTTCCGCGGCAACTAATAACAAAGATGGTGCAGGCACTTCGCAGTGAAGGAGGAGTTATGTTACCAACGGGGCAAAAAGCAGTGATTATCTGTCCAAACAGTCAGTTAACGGAGTTCGCTATAACGCCCACTATAAAGTCCCCGCTCTATATAGTGGTTGAGGGATTTAGGGGTTAGGGCGGACATTCGGACTCGGCGTGCACAAGGAGAAATGGGCTCGTGCACGCTCTCGCACACACATTCTTTTAAAAGTGGACTATGGCAATCTTTTAAAAAATCACGAAAATCCCCCACAATACCTTTAATTGCACTTTTTATATTTAGGAGATAAATATCAATGAGAAGAGTCAGTTGCAGACTTTGTAAATAACTTGTTGACTTGGAAAAGACACAAAATAATATGTAGAGCTCCAACAATCTGGCATTCTCTGTCCGGTACTGATTTTTGGCCTTTTTTTTTTTTTTTTTTTTTAGTGTGCCTTCCTGGTTCAGGTTTTGACCAGTTCAGATTTCTTTCTCTCTGAGGACTTGGCACAAAGTAGTTTTAAAAAAAAAGAAAGGCTGGTTGTTTGGTTCAGGTACTGGTTTTGGATAAAGTGTTTGTTCCTCAGTGAAAGGAATGCATCTGAGTAAAGACTGTTTTAGGCTTTTATGGAATAAAAATGGTGGAAAATCATTGTTTTGATGCATTTCATGATTAAAAAAATAATATTTTCCATCATTTGAAAAGATCAAAGATCAAAACCAGTCAAAGGAAAAATGGTCATCCTCTGGTTGACTTATTATAGCCTCTAGTTATTATCACCTCCACCATCCCAGATAAACACAGCCGTGTCTTGGTCTGAGCCTATCTAGATCTTCAAGCCACATTGATTCAAATCATCTGAACACAAAGACTTTGATTCATGTAAACAGGAATTTATCTGCAGCTGCGGCCATGTTTGGATATCTCCTTCATTTGCATGTTAAAAGATAATGTAAGCCTGAACTGATGGGGTTAATTTGTGAATGCATCAGAGCTGCCTTGAAGGGGGTTCATACTTTATGATAAAGTTGGTGGTTTTGTGCAATTAAGATAAGAACGTCAAGTGTTTTCTCTCTTTACTACTACATCATGCCGGTACCACTCTGCACGAGATTTAGCAATGCTGCTACTGAAGATATACACCTGCTGTGTGCAGTAGGAGAGTATTAGATTCCATTCTGCTGACCAAATATGTTATAGTTGTGCAGAGCAGAACCTTAAACTATGATCTTCTTCCAGAAATTATATGCAAGTAGTCTGTTACAGCTGCAGTTTTGCACATGGATTGACTGCAATTTAAAATATAGTTTAGCTTTAATACATATTTTGCATACAGCCAGAGCCTCTTCTTAAATTTACATGGTTACCAAAAGCAGAAAAAAAAGAAAAGCAGAAGAACCTTTTATTCTTTTTCTTATTTGGGCTTCAGTTGTATTTTAGCTTCCAGCTAGTGATCAGATCACACTTTCAGCTCTTTTAAACGAGCTCATGCAACCGATCCAACTTTCAGATGAGTCATTGCAGCCAAAACTTTGGTTATTATTCTAACTAGTAGTTTGATGCACATTCTCTGAGCAATTAAAGGTAACCATGGCAACTAATTGGCATTACCTGAGAACTTTTTAGATGTTTTTTCTCTCCATACTGGTTTTCACTCATGCAGCCCTGCAAGAGGCCTCATGAGGTCTGCCATCGGCAGGAAGACGCGTGGTCCTAAAGTTATCCACTAGTTAGTTGCTCTAAAATGAGAAGTATACCATGAATAATCTACAGTCCTATAAAGAAATGACAGCCAAGCCAAAGAGTCTGATTATATCATCTAATATTTTCTCATTTATCTCTGCAGAAAGAACCATTTCAGTTAAAATGATTGTGTTTTACTAGTTAAACTAAAGGATTTGAACCAAGTTTCAGTCTGAGGAAGGTTTGAATCACTCTTAAAGCCCAGGACTTTATTCACTCTCAGTCACACTTTGGTGGCGTCACTGCCATGCTTTGAGTCACTGTGCAGGTTATGGGTTCACTTCTCCTTAGCATTAGTTTTTACAGATTTCATATTTTCCTCAACCCTTCTTTGATTTGGTGGGTTCTATAGATGAACTTTCTTGAACAGCCAGATGTGGGAACTAAATGGCCTCCAATATTGGGCTGCTTTCTCTACAGTGCTCCTCTTACATCTCTTTAAATCCAGTAATAGGCTAATGAGCTCCTGCAGTTCTCTCTCTGGGAGCCTCAGATTCCTCTCTTGATCTCCCCATGATGTTCACTCTCACTTCAACAGCGAGGAGCAGCGAACTAAATGAATTACGTTTAAACAGGACACATCTTTAAAATGCTGAGTAGTCATGTTCTAATCATGTGCACCTCATGTGATATGATCTTTCTTGTTTCCTATTTAAGGAGCATTATTCTAAGTTATTATTATCTGAAGGACTTGGTGGTGTTTGCTTCTAATAAATCTGACTGCGCACATTTATTATAGGCTTATGTATTCCATACCAAAGCCAGAGATGACGTGTTTATCGTTGAATCTGCTGTACAAGGAACCAACAACAGGGTCTTAAACTGGGAGGATTTTTGTGGAATCTGTGTGGAAAAAGAGTGGAAGGCAAACTGACTGCAGATCCCCGAGGGTTTGGAAACTGAACATGAGGAACATTTAAAAGCTGTGTTTAATGGCTTGGAATAAACGTGGGGCGAATACCGCCGAGCACAAATTGTAGGAACTAATCAATGCGGGACACATTTCCCCTGAAGTCAAACCCAGGCATGTTGTAAACCAAAGTGCAAACCGCTCTGTTAAATATTCATAATTTTCCCCCAGAATGACATTATTCAAACTATGTATCTTTACTGTGGGTCAAACAGCAGACTCTGTGCTTCCTGGGGATGAAAAAGTGTCGGTTTGAAACCACAGATTGAACGTCTGTTGCAGGAATCTGTCAGCTGCCTGTCATCAGAGCGTTTGCGGATCTGCCACTGCTTTGCGAAATGACTGGCGGTCAGTTACAGTTAACACTGTTAAAATACACAATACATAAGCTCACAGATTTCCCTTCAATTAGCTCCGGAGCCCCACATTCCTGACCTCCGATCACACATACTTATTTAGGGCAGAGGTCAACACGGTCGTGTTCCATGTGGAGCCTTTCGACTGTTCTTGTTACTCAGATTGATTTAAAGCTGCCAGTATGTCAGTAAGCAACAGTTTAAATAAAATCAGCATTTTTCTTTGAGACTATCTTCCTGATTTAAATGAACTTGATGTGGATATTCAAGACTTCTATTGCTGCCTGGATTAAGTGAACATCAGTCGCACAAACTCTCGCTCCTCCAACAGGAATGACTCTCCTGCTGTGTTCAGTGAATGCAGACCGTTCTCAAAACATCATAAACACAATCATACACTTAGGTAGATGAAGCTCTTAAAGCTCATGCCTGGGTTTGTTAGACATGCACACAATTCCATCAGCAGTGAAAAAACTGACTAGAAAATCAACATTATTCGTCAGGGTGCTCAGTATATCATAAATATATTATTTCAATATCATTTTGAGCAATTTTCATACTGCAAAGGACCGCTTGGAGTGCAATAACTGGTTCCTTTAGGTCCTAATGTTTAGCTGGTAGGTTCGTAGGCGACGCTGATCACTTTATGGCACAAATCTGTTTCACACATCAAAGTGATGGAAATGCAGCAGAATATCCTGTTATGCTAGCTTCCAAACCAGGAATACAAGTCATCAGTTAAGATGATTGATCTTATCCATCGTCTAATGATTAATTTGCAAGCAGCTGTTTTCTTATTTTAGAGAATCTTTACATAACATAAATGGCTATAATTATTATTATTTTTTTTTTTACAAAATATTGAGTTAAAAAAGCAAACGACATTATTATGTTTTCTTGGACTGAATGATTTTGCTAAAAACAAAAATTGCATTTACTTTAAACCAACATTCTAATTGCGATTTTATTT